ATTAAATGGCGAGTGAAAGGTGACTATTCTTCTCATATTCAGATAAAAACTTCGCGGATAGAACTGCTACTGACGACAATCTATCATAATTTGAACAAACGGCTCGTTTCTTCGCAACATATCGACACTGACAAGTCGATATCGTTATTATTGAGTTTTTTATTAGGAACCTATGATAAGTGAGTTCTTAGTGGTCTTACGTATTTGACGAACTTACCTCAAAAGATTCTTGGAATTCGAGTACTTTCTTTCGCAGGCAACAAACCGGTCGATTGACAGTGTTTTCGATAAAAATAGCTTTGGCGACAATATGTGCCGGAAAACTAGTGGACAAGTTGAGGTGTGAGTAAACTATCCACCTTTACCATTTCTTTTTGTTCTTTACTTTATATTTTGTATACCTTTATATTCACTTTCAATAGTTTTATACTCTCGACTCCCAGTTCTTTTTTTGCGTATAAAGTAACTGTATCTCTTGAGGAGTTTTCGACTTTCAGATATGTTCTCTCAAATTTCGGATTCGTCTGGCTTTCTGGAATACGATCGATTTACTGACTTCATGCAGCAGGTACTTTTCGAGTTTATGGGATAGGTTTCCGTTATTAGCCCGAGTTAATGACGTAATTTCACTGCTTTACGGTGGGCAATACAGTGATGAGTAAAAGCGGAATCTCCTATCGGAAGGCGCAGTGCTCGTTGTTCTTACGGGTAAATTTTTATTGAACCGTTGTACTTTACTGATTTCTGCGCTCCTTTTCTAACTCGTCTTGGGGGAAAGCGGCATGAAAGCGTACATGTCCAAGTGACTCCGCCCATACGATTATCTTGGAACCTCTCTTTGATGTTCAGATGATTTTGGAAATGCAGCGTAGTATGGGCCAATCCATCAACGATGAGTTGATCTTACAACATTTTTGCCAGATCCTAGGATATCACTATGTTTCGAGATTAAACGGGAAATACGGCACTGTTCACTCTCCACTTCCCTAGTCTTCAATATTCAGACCTCATTGAACTTGTATTCTGGAATAGATTCCACTAAAACATTGTCTTGCGTTAGTTGATCTCTTGAATAGCATATCTGTTTGGAACCAAAGTGCCTCGCTGCCTGACAAGGCAGCGCCGCCTGTGGGGGATGCTCGTGACGCATGAAGCGAGCATTTCCAGGTCACGCTGGTTTAAAATTCGGGTCCAAGGCGTCAAATGCTCCTGGGGACAGGTTCTCAACGAATTTCCTAAATAGAGATACTCCGAGGTCGCAGCCATGGCGCGGGCGCCAATGCATCTCTAAATAAGCAATAAGGACGTACTATTGGTGTTCCTTGCTTCAACTACCCACTGGTACCACATTCAAGACAAGTTTGCCTATGGAGAAAACTTCCGATCAAAACGTAGACGAAGTTCCAAATATTGGAGCAACAAGGGGTAAATATTGCCGTAAGTACAATGAAAACTCAGGCTGATTGAATGTTAGCAGCAATTACAAGTCGCTTTCTTGAACTTTCTTCATCGTGGTTTCCATCAATGAAATGATTGCACGGTAATATAGCCAGGCCAGTTTGGCTGGCGAAGCAATGCAAATATCATTCTTGGTACCAACGCCCGGTGTTACTGTGGTGGGCAGTATGGAGTTCGTGACCTTCCATTCTAACTCCCTTGATCAGCTTTTATCAATTGCCTTGCTTCTTTTCACCCGCAAAAGGTGTTCCCGTCCCAGGATCTCTCTCTATCACTTCCCGTATCAAGGCCCAATTGTCACGGAGAAGGGTGCTTTGAATTTTTTGGCACAGATACAGTTTCGGATTACTAGATGAGTTTCCGTATTTTCAGGTATTAGCATTGACGACGGCCGTTTTTGAAGCGCCAACGTTTGGATTCTCGGAGGCTGCCGTGTCACAGTGTTTTGTGAAGGTGAATTTCCAGCCCCATTTTGCGTTTTCTCTTTTCAATCGATTTCTTCCATTTCCTTCCCCAATTCTTCCAGGCCGTCTATGTCGATTTAGCCCTTTCTTCCTCTACTTTCTATTTAAACGTTATTTGGGCTTTCCTATTATGTGTTTTTAATAACTTCACAAGGTTCTCAGCAGTACTTGCTCTCTTACCCATCTTACGCTGTGTGGTCTTTCCCAAAAATGAGGAGTTTATGAAGAGAATCGTTATAAAGCCGCTGTCCAAACCACTACGTGCTAGAAGGGTAGGGGCGGGCTGAAGAAGTGTAAGCATAGCAGTAACAATATCAGCTAGAAGTAAACGATGCATCAGATGGAGTGGAAGATAAATCGTCGGCATGATGACCTTTGAAGCCATTGATCTTCAACTGAGTATCGGGGACAGCTTGTGCAAATTAACTTTGGCTAGAAGCCCACCTTTCTTTGCAAACCCAGTTTTTTTT